AGAGGAGAGGGGAAAGGAGAAGGGAGGAAGGGAAAAGGAGAGGAAAAATGAAGGGGAAATAAGAATAGGAGAGAGGGTAGGAAGGGGAAGAAGAAGGGAGGAGTGGGGGAGAGGAAGGGGAAGTAGAGAAGGGAGAGAAGGAAAGAAGAAAGGAGAGAAGGGAGGGAAGGAAGGAAGAGGTAAGGTTCTTGTATATAGCGATAGAAAAGCAATCTCCATCATATTGTTAATTGCAGGGGGAGAAACATTGTTATAAAAAATAACACACATTATTAATCATAGTTTTGAGATTGTATATTTGTGAATGCATGTGTGAGAAATAAAAATAAAAAAAACCTTTTTTTATGGAAAAATATAATTAATCTTGTGATTCAGAGATGGATTTTCTTACAGCTCAAAACAGAACAGAACAGGTCCCTGTGGGTCAGGGTTTGAAGACATGGGGTCTTCAACTTCCATGCGTGACTAGGGTGGGGTGGGAGGATTTGGGAGTTGAAGTCCTCACCACTTAAAACTGTTAAGGCTGGGAAACCCTGTGGTAGATGAAACTTAGTCTATTGCCAAGTTGCTATTGCTAAGTTGTTTCAGAGTGAGGCCTAAAATGAATCCACAAGTTACCAAGCTGCAAGAGATTAGGTACTTAATATACTGGAGTGAGAGGATTAGTGCTGTTACACTGTGTGGTAGGTGCTCAGCTGAGCAAAGGTAGGCTTACAACATGTATATACTGTACTTATAGATTGTATCAGCGATAACAATTGATGGGAAACATGGGTATAATTAGAGCAATAATATTTTTGTAAGTGTCTGAGATTTCCCCACCGTTTGTGAGGGCCCCTCCTTCTTCAGTGTATCTGTTAGAAGCAAACATTAGTCAACGTTTCTTGAGTAAACTACTGTCTGTGGCAATGGTTGGGTCAGAATAACATCCTGGTTTATGGCTTCCATTTAGCTAAACTAATTCCCTTGGTTTCTCCATAACTTCTGCCCTAAATCAATATGCTGTCTTTGTACAGCAACCTCTCGCACAGCCATGTTTTTGCCAGTTTTATTAAGCAAGCTTGGCCAGAATTTTAGGATTTTCCAGGATTATTATAGAATGGAATNCCACACACGGCTGGCTCCTATTTAGCTGGTTGTCCACTAAGCCTCCAAGATCCCCCTCACAGTCACTGCTCTTCAGCCTGGTTTCACCCAATTTATACGTGTCCTTTGGGGTTTTCTTTCCTAAGTGCAAGACTTCACTTTCCTATACATTGAATTTCATTTTGTCCGAGAGGGCCTAGGGTTCAAGCCTGTCAGAAGGCTTTGGTGCAAATATCCAAATTCCTTGGACAGCAGAGGTGACCAATGAGAAGGGCCTTCTCATTGGACACACCTGATGGACCTATTTAAGAGAGGGAGCCCATAACATCTCCTGTCTCTCTGCTCTGGTGGGTCAGGTAGAGATGACTAGGAAACGATGGTCCTTCAAATAACAGGGATGGGGCCACCATGGAGAAGGTCCTTCTTCTTGGTCCCACCAGGTGGCCCTCCTTAAGAGAGGAGACCCATAACATCTCCTGTCTCTCTGCTCTGGTTGGTCAGGTAGAGTTGACTGAGAAATGATGGTCCTTCAAATAACTAGGTGGAAGCCACCACAGAGAAGGTCCTTCTTCTTGGTTCCACCAGATGGATTTTCTAAAGAGAGGGGACCATTGACATGTCCAGCTTCCCTTCTTTGGTGGATCAGGTGGACATAACTGAGAAAATTCAGCCTTTCAAATAACAGGGAGGGAGCCACCACGGAGAAGGCCCTTCTGAAGAAGGCTTGCAGGTTGACACTTCTCCTTGGTACCATCCAGGTGGACCTTTCTAGGACATCAATATGAGACTGTGGCCCGGTGTCTGAATTTTGACCATGTGACCTTGGGGATGCTGCAACGGTTGTGTGAAAACGACTGTACGTCACTCTTTCCAGTGCGGTTGTAACTTGGAATGGCCGTGAAAGAAACTGTCGTAAGCCGAGGACCAGCTCTGTCTCTGAGAAGTTTGGTTTGGAGTTTGGTTTCCCTTTTCCCTGCTTGTCTCTGGGAAATTGTATGGATGGGGGTGTTGGGCTTTCCACAGGCTCCGGCACGAAGGTCTGTGTGAGTTCCTCCCCTGCGTTTTCCCTTTGGCCTTCGAGGTGGCATTGTCCACTCTGGATAATTTCTTCTTCTATAAATCACGACCGACCGACTCAAGGAACGGCTTGGGAGCCCACCTCGGATGGCATGCAAGACAGGGGGGTCTCTGAAAAATCCTCTGGGAGGGCAGCCTCAACAGGTGAGAGAGAGAGAGAGAAAATAGAGAGAAAGAGACAAAGAGAAAGCGAGGAAGAGAGAGAGATAATGAGAAAGAGAGAGGGGGAGAAATAGAGAACGAGAAAGAGATAGGGAAAGGGAAAGAAAGAGGGAGGGAGAGAGAGAAAGAGAGAGAGACAGGAGAAAGAAAGAGACTGAAAAAGGGAAAGATAGAGAATGGGGAAGAGGGAGGGAGAAAGAAAGATGGAATGAAGGAAGGAAAAGAGGGAGAGCAGAGATGAAGGGAGGGACAAAGAGAGGGACAGGTAGAAAAAAGGAAAGAGAAAGTAAGATAGGAAGAAAGAAAGAAGGATGGAAGAAGGAAAAGGGGGAGAGCAGAGATGAAGGGAGGGAGGGAGGAAGGAAGGAAGGAGGAAGAGCAGAGATGGAGGGAGGGAGAAAAGAAAGGGAGTGAGGAAGAAAGAAAAAAGAAAAAGAAAGAAAGGGGGAGGGAGAAAGAGAAGAAAAAAGGAAGGAAGGAAGGACAGTGCAGGCATTGCAGAAGAACCTTGTTAGTCTCTGATTGCCAAAATCCAGATGAAGGGCTTCATAAAATGTGTTAGTTCAACAAAGGTGATCTCTCACACTCCTCCTCCCTTTGCCCCCACTGACAGCCTCATTTCTTCTTAGCCTCGGTGGAGAGGCTTCCTCTGCCTGGAAGAGCCTCTGACTTTCCTTCCTAGATTGCTTTGGACTGAAGTTCCAGCTCTGTGAGTGAAGCCTCCGAAACCTCGGCGTTAAATAAGGCTGGGAGAATGAGAGCGGAGAAATTGACTCTCCCAAGGCGAGGAGGGAAAAAGACAGGCAGCCCAGGCCTTGGGAGCACGGAGAGAACACAATAACATTCTAAAAGTAAGGGATAGTATTCATTCTTTCATTCATTCATTCTTTCATTCATTCACTTGTTGACGTAAAGCAACTCTGGGCAGCTTGCATGCAAAGCTGACCTACTGGTGGAGGGACGTAGACCAGAGGTGGGGGGTTCCTACCAGTTCGCACCTATTCGGTAGAACCGGTTGGTCAAATCTACCGAACTGGTTAGAAGAGGTTCCACCAGTGGACCCGGAAAGCAGGCCACGCCTACAGAAGAGCTTCCAAAATTTTTTGAAACCCACCACTGACACACAGATACACACCCACACACCCGCACACCCCACACACAGACACAGAGAGAAAGAGAAAGAAAGAAAGAAAGAAAGAAAGAAAGAAAGAAAGAAAGAAAGAAAGAAAGAAAGAAAGAAAGAAAGAAAGAAAG